ACAGTGATCATCTTGGGCCCCCCCGGTAGGAATGTAGATATTGGCTGGGATCGTTTGTCTGCAGTGTTTCTAGTGACTCTTGGTGATTAGGCTACGCTGTCAACAAATGTATTTCTAAAGCTCCCCATCCTTAAACTCGCCCACTTGCTTCCCGCAAAGCAGCAGTCATTTGTTTTATTTGATTTGGTTTTTCAAGACTGGTCGTCTTGTATAATTGCTGCGAAGAAACATCAGCTGGTGGTAGTTTATCATTCTCGCAGGAGTGAGTGAAGAATCCTTATGTTATGGTTTGTTCGTTAAAATGTTTTTATTAAATGTTCTTGTTTTGTGCAAGTGTTTTATGTAAAGTATAGAAATGTCGTTCACGTATGCGGCTGGATTGCTGTATGTAATCATGTTTGTCGCCACTCTACGAGTTTGCACATGGTTGTAAATTCCATTCCCTTAGGCAACGGTAACGTGGGACATTACCAAAGCACAGCGAGACCTTGGCAACCTTTTGCAAGAGTGGGCTGTTATCTGCTGATGTCATGCACGAATGTAAACGTTGACATTGTTTGGTCAATAATTTGCTAAATAAACCGCTACCGTATTTAATGCATATTTGTGAGATGTTTCTGGTTACCTTTACAGAAAATGTTTTGTATCTCGTTGGGAATTTACTTGCTTACATACTGGTTATGGAGTTTCACTGAAATATTGTGCGAAAAAATAGCAGAGATTTACCGAATCCGTCAATGTCCTTTTGGTTGAAGGATCGTATTGTCTGTGTTTTTAAATGTCTCCACTCGAGAGTACTCTTGCTTTGAAACATTTGCGTGTTGAATGCATCGGCCACATTTCACTTTGAATGTGACCATGGCGTGATGATGCAATGTTCTCCAGAGCAGTGAAAAATTTCCGGGGATGCACGAGCATTGATGCGCAAAAGGAATCGGGCAGAAAGAGATTGCGTTCTATGGCCAGCCTCGCCCATTGGTGTGGGGCATAAAAAGAATGAGTTGTGCGAAGGTGAAATGCGGGCCAGCAGAGAGCACAACTGCCAGTGGTGGCAGGATGAGACAGTCTTGAGACATGTTTATTGCTCGTGTTGGTCCTGTGGTTGTCATTCAGTCCCCACCCTGGAACAGCTTGTGCCTATGGGTCATTGCTTCATTTCTAATTAATTTGCATGAGTTCTGTACGTCGTATATCAAAGTTTCTGGAACTTATGTCACTATCAGCCTCAAACTCATTGATGCCAGCACTTTCTGGTGATGAGATCCAATATCAGCCGCAAATGATCTACACGACCGCACACTTGATTTTCGTGTTCAGTTGATGAGCATTAAAGTCTGTCGTGTTCTTCTTTTATATCCACTAGGTGATATCAAAGTCTATTTACTCCGTGGATGTATTTGTAGAAATTACGCGTTAGTTTCCACTGGTGTGTTGTTCGTGAAAAATTTAATCCCGTTTCTCTTTTATTTTTATACCTCATCATCATTACGGTCTATGAGCAGATAGCCCCTACGTGTTCATTTGTTTCCACTTATATCTTGTGCCAATATGCTCAGATAGTGCAATTTTCCTGGCACAAATCTCTTATTTTGTCGTCAAGCCATCCTCTGTTAGGTCTTTCTCTCTTTCTGGTTCCCTTCTTTTTTTCCAAACAACACACTTTTAATGTTCCCGTTGTCCACCCTACATATGTCAGTTGACTTGGCAAGTAGACAAATTCCTTTATATTCACAATGTTGCTGCTTTGTATTATTACTTCTTTCTCAATGTCCTCCCTTCCGAACACCATCGTCTTTGTCTTCGTTAATCCTCAGTCCTGCATCCCTTCCTGACATATTCAGCGTATGAACACTTACTCGCAGTACTACGTAGCTTTCTTCCATCAGATCTATGTTGTCCGCAAATCTCAGGTTATGTATTATTTCTCCTTGCACAGGTATCCCTGTGCCGTGTCTTAAATGGCATCCATCACTTTTTTCAACTGTGACGAAATTGTTTGGAGATCGTGTCTCATACCGCTTGTTTTTGGGAACCATTCTTCTATTTCCTGTCCAAACTGTACTGCTGACTTTCACCTTTCACCTATAGCCTGCAGAATCTGTCTCAGCCTTTTCCCCTACTCCATATGATCTTAATTTTGCCCACGTTATATCTTAGTCAAATCGCATGCTTTCTGGAGATCTATGAAACAGTTGTAAACCAGCCTATTCTTTCTCTTTGCTTTCTCTACTAGAAGCCTTACCATCAACATTTATTGTACTGTGTTCCTATCTTTCCTAAACCCTGCCTATTCATCCACCAAATAATCCTGAGTGCGCTTTTAATTCATTTAATAGTACTTACTACCATTATTACCTACCCCATGTGGCTCATGAGTACGATGGTTCTGTAATTTTTGCAATCGGTGAGATTTCTTTTCTTGGGTATCATCACAAGTGTGCATTTTGTCCACTCCTCCAGTATTTTCCCTTCTCTCCATACTTGCCTGCATGGCTCATGGATTTCTTTCATAAATTATTTCCCTCCAGCTTTTGTCATTTGTCCACTTATGTCATCCACTCCTGGACTTTTGTTTTCTTCAGATTTTTTATTGCCTTTTCTACTTCTTCGCACAAGATGTTATCATTTTCATCATCATCGTTGTCGGCTATCTTTTTTAGTTCATCCAGCAGCCCTTCATTATCTTGATCCGTGTTCCTTTACAAATCGATGCAATGCTCAGTCCATCTATTTTTTGCCTTTTATTTGTCTATAAAGATCTTCGCGTCCTTGCCTTCTTATCGCTGTTGGCCTTGGTTTCCACTTCCTATTGGTGCTCTTGACTAGTTTGTACACCCCCTCCCTGTTCTTATATTTTCCAGCATAGTATTTAATGTTGCTACGTTGCTTTTCCAGCCATTCCTGCGTATCCTTTCTTGCAAATACCCTTCCGCATTGCATAGCTTTTTGTACTAAGGCGCCATCTCATCCGCTTCCCTTATCTTTAGTGTTATTTTTATTTTTTCCTGTGCTAGTTCCAAGGTTTTCCCATTTTCTTTTGGGTTTTACTCCTAAGGGTAGGTTTGCCCTTGCTGCTAGTTCCACTATCTTCTTCAACGCCTTGCTGTCTATGCTAAGGTGTTCTATTTTTTCCCCTGATTCTACTCGATATTTCCTCTTCATATTTCCTCATCTCATAGTTCTCGAGTGACTCTGTGTTCCTCATCTTCTCATATTGCGTTTTGGATATACGTTTTAGTTTTAGTCGTAGATTGCATAGTACCAAGCTGTGGTCCGATGACATATCTCCTCTTTGGAATGTTCTGCAATGTCGAACTGATATTTTCCAAGCATCTCTCGATCATTACCACATCTATCATATTCGTATGTTTTCCACCCAGTGCCCTTCATGCCCATTATCTTGCAGTCTTTTTTTTCCTTAGTTTTACATATGAGCATGTCATGATTTGAAGCGAATTCTAGCAAATCCACTTTCTGCTTTAGCCCAGTCATGAAAATGTGATCGTATGCATTACAATCTTCCATTACACAATTCGTCAGTGTCGTCTTCGGGTGCTGCTCATTTCTGCACAGATACTCGTGCTTTTGCGAGTGCACAGTATGTCAAGATTTACACAGTGGCCCGCAATATTATTTAATATTGCGGCCCCCCAAATTAAGACCACTGGTCCTGCTGTCCCCCCCCCTGGCCCCTCCTGCCACCCATCCCAGAAAATGCAACTCGGGTTACTCAGGCCACATACATTGATCACATGTTCACGCCTCGAGTCACTGCATTGTTAGTTACGTATGTTGAACTGCTTTCGCAGCGTGCGTAGCAAATCGTGCTAATCGGAGGTGGAAGAGGTGAAGATCAAAGTTAGTAAACATTTGTGAAACAGTATGAGAAATTCTCCAAAAAAACATAAATACACAGTCCACTTATTATCATCATTGCACATCATCAACTTAAACATAGACATTGTTGTAAAATTGCTATCTTCATGAACAACCCAACAAAACCGATGAGTTTCACATCCTTCAGTTGGTCAGCTGCCCTGTAGTTTTTATCATTAAAGCTCTCTTTGGAGCAGAGTCTTTCAAAGTGAATTTTGCTTTTGGTCAGTCTCTCTTTCATGCAAGAATAAATATCTTATCAGTGGTGGATGTTTACTCGCTTATGTATAAGGCACTCTGCTGAGGCTAGGTTTTGTAATATTGTGCAACGGTCCTTTGGGCATTTCATCGTGGTTGACTTGGATGTTTCTTATTAAGAGGTTTGCACATTCCAAGTCTCAAATTACGTTTTTGCCTTGCCTCGTTTATTGTAATAAGCACTGTTCACTTTCATGTTTGATGATGCCTAAAAAGGTTAAATGGCAATAGAAAAAAACAAGCAATCGTGTTGCCTTGATGAACGCTTTTAATGCTGCATAACTCTCTAAGGACGATTAGACATGTGGCGTAGGACATGCAGTGATATAAACCCTTATTGCGTTAGGAGGCAGGGTGCTCTCAGGTTATGTGTGCATTTCAATTCTTTCATAATATCATCTTGGTAAGCGTCTGATGCTGCGGAATCGCAGCAAAACCATAACGAGACACTAACACCACTAGAACCCGCTTTGCAAACAAATGTGTATCCCCTTGCTAGTTCCTTGTATGTGTGTGAGTGCCTATTATTTTATTTTCACCTGGCAGTTTCTTCAAAGTGTTAAACCCTGCCATGTTATTCCCCGTGGTTGCTTTACGCTGGCATACATACAGTGGAGCATTATTTCAATGAACATGAATGAAATGAAACTAATTTCCCTTCGTGTGTTTTTCGGGTTGTTCCGCACGTTGTCCGATGTGCTGGGAGTTTCTTCAGATCCCGAAGAGACTCCCAGCCCGTGGAGCGAAACGGCTCGACATCGTGCCAAAGATACGCGGCACAATCCAAAAAGCACGCCGCTGATCTACCACGGCAAAACTGAGAAAATAACAACACCATTTGTTCTCAATCCCGGCGCTTGACACAGGATTGTGCTGAGGCTGTGAAAGATAAAGGCAAGAAGACCGATGAGGAGGAGGAGGAGGGTGAGATGTCCGCACAGGAAGAAAGGATGCTGGAGAGGAAAGTGAAGAAGTTGCTGAAGAAAGCCGAGAAGGAGAAAACCAAGCGAGTGACTGCCACTGCGGTCGAGAGTGGAGAAGAAGCGGTCACTCCCTCTGCAGCAGAGCTCTCCTTGGAATATCTTACAAGGTATTAAAACTTGCACATAATCTTCACCTGTAATGAAGGATGGGTTTTTGTCACTGTAAATTTTGGCTAAATGTACAGCAGAGGTGCAGGAAATAAGCAATAATTCACAAAAAGGTGATGGATTAAGATGGGGGTGGTGCCCATCTTAAAAGTGTTATTTACAGTATATGTTTAATCTGAGGCCCAGTTTTAATAGGGGCAGCCTTATTCTCCCAGTCTTATAGCAGAAACCAATTTTTACAAAGAACAACATTTAAAAATATATTTTATGCATAATGTAACGTTATTATGCTCATCTTCTTTTGTGATAAGTGTGTACAATGCTCCGTGGTCCCTGGATGAAGGATGCTATCAAAGTCAAAATTGTTATTATTTTATTATCATATAAGAAGCCGGTCAAACACATGATGCAGAAACCTCTAAAAAAGTATCTTGAGGCTCGGTGAAGCTTTCCTGGATAAAGGGCGTTGTTTTGTATGAGCATTGCGGCCAAAAACATTTTGCCAAAACTTCAGGATGTCCCAAAGGAAGCCAAGTTTGTGGAAATGTTGTTTCGGATTTTTTTGTCCTATAAACCATTTCTTTTTCAAATCACATTTTTAACGTTATAGATATTACACTGCTTATACACTAAAACACATGCATTGTTGAGATTGTGTTCGTGTTGTGTGCAGATGGGATAACTAAATAAACTGCACATGTGCGCTCCACAAAACACAGCAGATAAAAAAAAACAGATTCCTTTCTCCCTGTGTTATTGTGTGTATAAGATGTACAGCTGTACATTGCAATCTCTGTGCGGAGTTTACCATATGGAACACTGCGTACCCTACTCCTTGGTGGAATCTTAACAAGTCTTTGATGAGCGGCAGCGGCCAGCACACAGGTCGAACAAAATTAACTCCCGTCTGTTTATTTTTTTGTCCCATTGTAAAGTTCTTCAGTGTTTTGTAGGTCAATAGTTTTGTCGTTCACATAACTTTACATGTGCTTGTGGTAGAAAGTGAAATTTGGGAGCGGGCCAGTCAGGCGTGAATGCCTCTTTATCACTCTTCTATCGCTACTACTATGACTTGATTCAACCGTCCATCGTACATACTGCAAGTAAAAACACTTCTATCTGCAACCTTCCCTCGGTACGGATGAATTCGCATCGTTTGTTCCAAGCTCTTATATAACCGCGTTCAGTTCAACAAACCTTTTCACTCTCATCTATTACAATTCTGATTGCCAATTTTTTAATGTTTTGGGCTTTGGGGCCTGTGCTCAGCAACTTCACATAAAAAAGGAATTTACCTAAAGTTACTTCGTATGTCGTGTTTAAGAAAACAATCTTGCTTACACTTGTTAATGTAGAGTGGTACCCCGAGTGTCTAAATGCCTGAAGCAAACTTTTCTTTTTTTACAAATTGCATCAGTACATATCTGTTCTTGGATGCACATTCACAATGAAGTCAATGCACTTTTTCAAACTTGCTGTGCCATGATCAAATGTCCTTTGCAACATAACAGAAATGTTATCATTATAATTTTGTGTAAACATGCAGGCAAAGGCAATATGCTGAAAAACGCAATGACTAGCCATTCACACCACAGGGTCCGCAGGTGGGATTGTTTTGGATCTCTCTGCTCTGAACTGGTTGGAGATTTTCCAGTGGGGTGATGTGGTCACCATTTTATTCCGCTGGCGTCGTGTAGGCTTTCTGATGATGCAGTGGAATTCTTTGTTTGCCCAGACACATGCAAACATTCCAAACTAATATCTGTGGCCGGGTGATGAGCGCATCCAAGTTTTATCTATGTGTTGTGCAGCTTCTCAAATTTTTTTTCATTAGCAAGTGCTGTGAGTTTGTTTGCAGTGTGCATTTAATGTCGGGAAATACCTTCATGTTATTAAGAACAAAACGTGTTAATTGAACGGAGGAAACTATTAAAATCCTTTCAACATTTGTGTCTTCATGCAGGGGATGGGTCTGGTGTTATTCAATATAGAATTTGCAATTGACTGCTGTTATTTTCACTATCCCAGTGCTCCAGCTTGGCATATTTTCTCTTACATCTGATTTCACAAGCTGAACAGACCTTATAGTTGCTATGGTTTTCGTTGTTTAGAAATGATTGTTTTTTTTCTACGTTGAGGTAACAGAAATTGTCGAGGATGTTTTCAACCTATTTTTGAGAAGGTCATGAAATATGATCTATGTCATTATTAGCATCGTCAGGAACCAGTCTTACCGGCAAGGGGATGCTCAGGGAATGCTGTGGTGCAGTGTTTTGTGTGTCATTGCAAGTGCGACCTTAGCTGGGCGTTATCCAGGGCAGACGGCATTTCGTTTGTTCTTTCTGTAGGCTTTGTTTACTTTTCCACTTCTTAAAGTTTTAGATCTGTAATACAAAGCAACATGTCTTTAAAGACAACATACAGCTTTGTGTAGAGCCTTTCTCACTCACAAAATAACATGCGAGCTTTTATGATGCAAATTGTTTTAATTAGACAATACAAATGTCCAATACTATGGGGACCTCATTTGCCAGTAAAAATATGATAATTGGTTCTTTACCCTTCTATCTGGCAACAAAACTGACACCTTTTTGCAAGGAGTCATGTTTGCATAGACCGCAATACCTGCAGTCATAATACAAACAAAAGAACATAACTCTGATAATGTGCACTGTCCTTGAAGTTGATTGGTCCACACCCGAGACAGCTTTCCTTAGAGCCTAGTCTCATATGGGTTGGACCAGATGACGCCAAAAGGCGCCTTTTGGCGTCATCTGGTCCAACCCATATGAGACTAGGCTCGAAGGAAAGCTGTCTTGGGTGTGGACCAATCAACTTCAAGGACAGTGCACATTATCAGAGTTATGTTCTTTTGTTTGTATTATGACTGCAGGTATTGCGGTCTATGCAAACATGACTCCTTGCAAAAAGGTGTCAGTTTTGTTGCCAGATAGAAGGGTAAAGAACCAATTATCAAATGTCCAATAATTATAACGTTTTAATAAAGTTCTTAAAATCTGCATTTAAGAATATTGTTGTTTAAGTTTTGTATCATAAGCACTGTTCTATCCACGGCTGGATGAAGGTCTCCCCCACATCATTGGCTTCCCTCACTGTCTTGCAATGACAAATCCACGCTCACAATGCACGGCCTTGCAAAGATGGAACAGCTTGATCTGAGATTTCATGAAATTTGAAAATTTCAATTCAGAAAAATAGTTAGGACAAAGATGTATTTCTTCACCTTGGTCATTTATAACGTGAAAAGATATTTCATGATAAATGGACTGGAGACCTACAATTAAGAAAATCATGAAAGTATAAAAGTTAAACAACCTAAGGTTTTATAGCAACAATCATAACAACCGATGAAAACTTAAGTCCAGGAAATCATTGAATAAAGTAACACTGAAGCCTGCAGAGTTAGCATAGGATAAATATACGCAAACCAAGTCATGCACAACAATTTAACGGAAGAAAACAAGTAGTCAACTTATATGTATTTTCTTTGGGTCTTTCGGTAAAGTCACGTAGATAGGTTCAAAGAAAATAACAAATAAAACTGCGACGTTTCGATCGCAACACAAGCGGTCGTCATCAGGAAAAGGGGGTTGGCTTCTAAAGGCAAACTGTTTATAAAGGTCAGCATGGGCGGGGTAGCTAATGTTAATGTAAGGGATTAAAAACCCAGCATGTCGAGGGGTGCTCGAAGGTGATGTAGGGCGGTGTAAGACCCAAAGAAATATGAAGTCAAGATTTAACTTGTATGTATTGTATGGAATCGGTTCACTTGACCACAGCTGTTACTTAGGCGCACTTACATTCTCCACAAGGTATAAAAAAGAATCAATGAATCAAATCTTGAATAGAATCGTGACCCCAAATCATGACAATTCATCAAATCACAAAGTGGACCGAATGGTTCCACTGTTACTTTATATAATTGTACAGCAGTGCTGATTTTAAATGGAAGTATTAAGCTGTATATTAAGCAACATTTTAATTTCGCTTTGAATTCTCCACTTTCAAAATAATCATATTTTTTTCTGCTAATTCATTTATAATTACCAAATCATATGAAAGGATGTAATTCAACCTGGCTGAGTCATTTTCAGATTGAGCACTCGGTGAGGCAAATTGCTGCCACCGTCACTTAATACGAGGGGCTGGGGCTGCTGGGAAATTTTCCTCTGCGTGAATGTCGACCCTATGTGGCCACTCTGCGATTAAATCTCCCACAAGTGTCTGTTGCAAAACCCTGCAGCGAGAAGCAGTAATGCTCTCTTCTTCACATACGGTACATTAATATTCATGATTTTAAACGTTGTCTACCATTGTTTGTCAAAATTGTAAGCTCATTTTGCTAGAATTAATACGACCTTGATTTTCTTGTACGTTTTGTTTAACAGTTGGGCCACGGATAAAAATCAGTGGAAGTTTCAAAAGCTGCGGCAAACTTGGCTTCTCCAACACATGTACGACGCTGAAAAGGTATGGACGTTGTAAAAAATGTGCAGGATTTTTTTGTGGATGCTCAATGTGAAACCATTAGTACTCTTACACGACGTCTGAATGATATTTCTGGAATGTCATCCTGAAAATGTTTAATTGTTTTATTTTGAAATACCAAAATAAATTGTTAAAGCTTCTAATGGTGTTCGTTTAAAGCTTCAATTTGGTGAAATGAAAAGGGTTGTTTGCCAAACATAAACAAGATATGAGTTAACAATTTCCATGTCACTAGGTATGTACATATTAATATCGATTTAAATATCGAAAAAAACACTTGACTGTAATGATTCTATTCAAGTAAATTTTCAGCTCAAGCCATTCTGCTTTAATTTTATTACAACTTAATTCCATGTATGTGCTATTCCTTGTAAGTTTGTATGTGTGTGTATACGAGGGAGTCATGACGTAAGTTTTTTTTTTCCACTGCACTACGAATGCGGTAATAAGTTTTATCTGCAGGCTGGTTATTAGCAGTGGCAAGTAGTACCGGAATGTTTCCGCGACCTCCCCTAGGCTGACTGAGCCTTAAATGAGTACTTGGTGTATAAATATCACCACTTCGGAGACAAAGGCATGGTACTGGTCAGTCACACCTCTCTCGTGTCCTGTACAACCCTTAATAGGCTCTCTCAAACATCACTTGCCTCATTGGTCTTGTGTGGCCAGAACAGCACAGTGTGTCTTGAACAATTTTATTCATAAATTATTGATGGATTATTTCGCCTCAAGTCACAAGATTCATCCATCATCTCATTGACTTGGCTGACCAGGGCAGTCTTCCGAGATTACGTTTCACGCAGCTCAGTGTTACAAACACCTCCATTAGCACAAACCAGCCCATTCCGGCGAGCCTTGCCTCTGCTGCTTGTTGCAGTGGTGACACTTGTGCCTCGCAGCAAGAAGGCCATGGATTCAATTCCTAGCTCAGGTGTCTTTGTGTGTGGAGCTTCTATGTTTCTCCCCCTGTTGTGCTTGGGTTTCCTCCCCACTCTCCTGTTGCCTCCTGTAGCTAAAAACCTCTCATGCAATATAACTAACTGTTATTGGCCAAATATCCCAATGCAAAAATATTACCTTCAAATTACGGGATTGGATTATGCATAGCAACATCACCCTCTATTATAAAAACTTATCACGGCTACAGAAAAAGATTAAGTTAGGCTTTCTTGGGTATACGAGCATAATAAATTCAGTAATTTAATTGGCTGATTATGTGGAATGAGAGGCACACGACAGCACCTATATTAACACTCAGTTTTAACCAATTTCTCTCCACTTGCTTGCCAAATAATTGCATATTTTAATTAGACTGTGATGGTGGTTTTTTACCTGCCATTACATCGTTTAGAAACATTATCGTTGACAAACAAATAATGAAAAGAAAATCTAAAAGTACTTGAAGAAACATGGAGAGATGCATACGTGGAATTACAGTTATAGAAAAAAAGCAACACATGTATTAGAGAACATATGCAAGTTAAAGATAATGTTTAAGAAATTCTTGGGCAGGACACATCACTGGAGAGGATGAATGGTAACAGTGACAGCCATGGAATGGAACGCGTCCGAGAGGCCATTCACCAAGGAGATGGAGTGATGAAATCAGCTAGTGAACAGACGTTTGGTGGATGGTTACTTTTCAGAACCACGAGAGATGATGATTATTGTACTACTGCAATGTCTCATGTCAAGCCACTGAACCATCATCTTCAAATCCGAGCTTTCCAGATCACTGGTGTGTCACCTTGGGTAACGAGCGTTCGCATTTGCAACGATTGTGATGAGCTCAACCAAGCCACTAATTATCGCACAACACACTCCATCCTAATTTGGTATTTGTAACTTGATTCAGCTGTACCCAACCCTTGAGGATATTATTAACATCAGAGCCAGAAAAAAAACATCTAGTCTCACCCACGGCTATTTAGCACCATCATTACAAACACCAGGCAATGGAAACTCTTTGAATAGACACTGAGAGAAACTCATTAATGTTTTATTCTGTTTCTGACCCTAGCCAAATGAATGTGCAGTGCAAGTCAGTGTTTGGGGGTATTCTGTTGAGGGAACAGGTCGCTGCACTGTAACTGATGCCTTCAAAACAACTTGCACAAAATGGATGGAGGGAACCTTCAAACAAAGTGCAGTATGATCAAATGTATGCACGTGTGCATATGCACAAGATGCATAGTCTCAACTTAATGGATGTGGCTGCGTGCTTTTGTACCTTCTGGCCAAACACTTTGAACAAGTAAAATGTTATATTTGTGCAGGTGCCAGGTAGCTCTCTTTTTCCTACATTACAAGTCAGCACCCGAAAATTAATCAAAGCAGAATTTCTCCCTCTGGCATTTGTTGCTGCCCGGCAGCATTTTTCAACTAAGGCCGAAAGCGTTAATGCATTTCCTGACGAGCCACGGTCACGTGTTGTTGCTATTGTGACACAGGTGCCGGACAGCTATTTCAAAATCCTGCTGAAGTATTTGGCCGGCCTGAAGGGCCAAGCCAAGGACACAACTATTGAGAAGGCAGAGTCCATCATGAGGAAAAGTGAGAAGGAGGATGTGGAGGAGGAGGAAGCGGATAAGGCAGAGGAGAAGGCAGAGGAGGAGAAAGGCAAGTAAACACAACGGTTAAAACGTGTGGCTGTGCATTTTCCCAACAGGGACCCTGAAGAAGATATACAATGTGGTTGGTGTGTGCGTACACTCCCTTTCGAAAAGTTCTCATCACCGAAAACGCCTCTATCAAAAGTCACGGTCACTACTATACAGTGTTACCATTTGAATGTGTTTTGGGTTGCAACGAAAAGATATTTAATATGTTGCTTAGAATTTATATTTCTAAGAAGTCGGTGGTGGTAAGAATGCCCAGGTTATAGCCTAATATAGTAGAATATTGAGTTATTTTCCATACTCAAAAAAATCCTCGTTTTTTGGGATTGAAGTGGAGTTGAGTCGTTTTCCAGGGAGGGCATGCAGCGCGAGCTGCGCATTTGGGAGTTTTCTCTTGGGCTTCGGGGATGTTCTCTTGGCATATTTCCTCCACTTCAACAAGAAATGTGAAACATACGCGGCACCTTCACGGGTGATTGAAAATCTGTGTCAGAGCTGCTCTTTGTTCCGCTGTGAATGTGCGCTTGATGTTTTGATGATGATGATGATGTTGCTGATTTTGGTGCTTGTCGCAGGTAGTCCTGTTGATGAGAAAAAGAAGAAACGTGTACGTCGGGTTCTGAAGAAGCTCTCGTGATTTCCTCGTCGTCGCTCTTCACAAGATGAAAATGAAACGTGTTTCAAATTGCACATGCAGCGTTGAGAATGAACACGTGTGCGGTATTGATATATATATTTTTAATACGGAGCAATCATTACTTGTCGGCGCCATAATGCTGTATTTATTATAATACACACGGGAATGCAAAAGTGAGGGGATGTTGCTATTGTTTAGAATTTTTTCTTTTCTTTTTACAATAAATGCATTTTCCTTGAATGTTTCATGTCGATTTTTGAAAACATATATATTTTTAAACTACTTCCCGCTGAGGTATTGCACTCGAGTATGAACAGGAAAAACGTTGCTTTCAAATAGCACTGTAAATTACACTTGCTCAATGGAAAACTAATAATAGTCTTGGACCTCGCACATACTGCCTATATCAATTGACAACACAATTCTGGAATGGATCTTTACTCAACAACCACTTTACACCATCACCTTGTAACTTTGCTGAATGTTAAAAGCATTTGGGGTGAATGATGATGAAAGACGTTTTTCTGTCATCCTTTGTTGAAAGGAATGTGCATTTAGCCCACATTGAGCACCACGAATTGTATCTTCATACCGTCCTCTGCGTTTACATTAGAATGTTGGAATTGGATCTTGTAGTTTCACTTTACAGCTAAAAGCTGCATTTGGCACAGCCATTGGCGAACAAGAAACTGCTTCATAGCAATTATAAAGTTTCAACGATAATATTTACTTTATACTTCTGCAGCATGTATACAAACTGAAAGTGAAATTAAGTTCAAAGTGGAGCAGTGGCACAGTGGTTTGCCTACAGCGCGAAGAACCCAGCGTGCCCCAGAGAGCATCAGTGGTGAGCGATAGCTGAACTGAGGCCACTCTTCATCAGTTTGCACTGACAAGCATGACACGTTGAGGGGGAGACCTTCACCCAGTATTGGATTGATAAAACGCTGTACACACTTCATTTTTATAAAGCTCAAATTTAGGTGAAGGAAACACTCCAAATCGAGTTCCATGACACAAGGACCTTAGCCACAATGCCAGAAACGAAAGAGATCCCTCCAAATAAAATAGTTCGCTGATAAATCCCGAATATCAATCAGCACTGCAATTCTATACTTCAGTACCGCACTTGTCGAGAAAATAATAAAGCTGAACGAGCAACCTCAACGGAAACACAATGCACAATGTAGCGTATGTGGAGGTCAATATCAGAGTTCACTTTCAAGTGACATTGCACAGCTTAGAGGACCATCTCGTTGAATAATGTCGAGTCGAGATACGTGCTTTTGTTGGTATAGAGCTCATTGTTGAGCCATTGAGATGGAATGTGTCGATTGAGTGGCTTGCTCATAGATTCCCCGTCGATTGTGTTGATGGTAAAAAGGTTTGCAGCAGAGACCTGTTGTTGGCGTGACACTGGCCTTGTAATGACGTGAAAATACCTTGGCCACCCACGCTGGTGGACGTGATTCATGAGATGGAGTGACGAGATTGGCTCAAGTTTGCACGTAGATTGATTTTGGCATCTTTGGAGGTCTTCATACAATTGAATAGATTATGGCTGTTTGTGATGTGGTATGCAACGAGTTTAGGTGACCTCTACAGCCTGTAAGGAGGCCACTTATATTCACTCCTGTTAAAAAACCTAGATTGAATTTGTATTTGCTACTAATCATGTGAAGTGACACCCAACACAGTAGTCTTCAATCATTAATAGGAGTCTTTATTTCTTCCAGCACGAGACACACTCTCCAAATATTTTATTTTCTCCAAGCGTCGCGAACTCTCTCACTTACCTTTTATATTACACTCAAGCACCTTTCCCGAAGGTTCCTTGACCTGCTTTTCCGTCCAGCCAATCACCTTCCACTTTTCCTAACGGATTGCAACCGACCACAACGTCAATGATCCTCCGTTGCCCGCTCTGCCCATGTTGTACTTCTCCAATCCCTTCTATTTATTTGACTGTAACCAATCCTCTTTGCAGGCCCGCTGAGGATAAATCAGAGGGCTGGTTTTTAAGTCTTGATTATCCGCGTCACGTGGTGTTCACCACGTCAGGGGAGTATCGTTGATAGTGATTCACTTTACACGTATATGCAGTTCAATTCATAGGGCTGCCACTTAATTATTGATAGTCTTGGATGGCTCTACTTGAAATACACGGTTTGGTTGCTTTAGAGTGCAACTAAATAGATTAAATAAAATAAAGCAGAACATCAATCGTACTCAACTCCCACACTGAGAGTTTTGCTTCAATTAGTTTACAGTAAAACTCCATTAATCCATCCTACAAAAATCCTAAAATCTTCGCGGTGCCCCCGAAGTTTTTGGAAACTTTTTCATCCACTGGAGTGGACTTAAGCATTTTTTAGGGCAAATCAAAACTAATGTGTGGATTATAAGACACTGTATTATCGCATTGCCTCGAGACATTGGGTTGTATATAGAGCATTTTAAACACGTGTCTCACTTGGAGATACAGAGAGATGGAGCTGCAAAGAGACAAAAATGCAGAGGTTCAGCAACGTTTTTGGTTAACCCCTTACAGACTTTTCGATTTAAAGCTTTCGTGACTGCAGGGATTCATATTCTTGGTTCTTTCGGTAAAGTCACGTAGAAGGGAAATAATAAAATAATAAAAATGAAACAATTAAATTCTCACGACGTTTCAATTGCAACACAAGCACATTTTCTTGCTGTGATGAGAATTTTATTTTTTTATTTCCCTTCTACGTGACTTTACCGAAAGAACCAAGAATATGAATCCCTTACAGAAAGGTAAAGTGGTGTGCTGATTGGAAGAGTTAATCTGCTTTGGATACTAAGTAAAAAAAATACAAACATTTTTCAGTATGGACCACAGTGAAATATTTTCAAAACTTTTGGTTTACATTTTTGCAAAACCTTAATCTGTTTTTTCCCCCGCACATTATTGGAGTGATTAGTCACGTGCCCCCTACTTCTACAATCTGCTGTTTCGCACATTCATGGAATTGTGATAAAGACAAACACCTAAAATTCAGCAAATTCTTCTCTCGATATTTTGGAGCAAAAATGAGCAACATTGCAGATGACAGGACCCATTACATCTTGTCGCCATATCACCACGGGTTTGTGTGAGTTCTGAAGAAAGAAACGTAATATAATAATCGAGAATACGCCCACCACAGAGATGGAGCATTGAGATGATTGGTTCATGTGAAGGATCTCCATGGATAGCTGTTGCATCGTGAAAGAGGAGAGGCAGTGCAGCTGATGATGCTCACGTGAACTAATGAAATTAACTGTAAATTAACCGTACAAAAAGTTACAGCTGTGGTTTTCCAACTGTATTGGGTACGGCGTCCAACCCAAAAAAGCCAACTATAAAGTGACAAAGGCCACCATACACAAGAGATATCACATGCCCACGCCTGCACGTTATCCGTGCCGAAGCGTGCGCCCCATGAGAGAGAGACGCTTGTGGCCTTGTGGGGCACGGATTGTTAGAGGACTGGGACTCACGGCTGAGCTAAGTTCAGGGTGACTGCGGCTGACGGGATGCAAAAGTCACACTGCCACCTGCTGGCTGGCTTGAGATCGGCGGCGTGAAATGCGGAGCGCGCTTTCGACTGAAGCTCACGCCAACGATCGTTCTATAAGCACCCCCAATGGTTTATGTGGCCGTGTTTTCTTTTAAATGAGTGATATTGAAAATAACTTTTTTTTAAACACGCTTTTATGAAATGTGCTAGTAATGGCAGAACTCCACGACTCCAGGATGTGGCCCCGAAGCTTGCCATAACGAAAGGGGCCGTGGCCAATTACAGCCAAGGTCAGTTGAGCGTGGACAATTAGAGCCAAGCCGAAACAACATGTACAAAAGAATGTTGAAAAATATATATTTTTCATGATATAATATAGTATTGTCACCAGTATGGCATAAATATACCAAGTTTGTTGTCGATACCACGTTGGAAAGTGGGTTAAAATTTTGTTACAAGATTTGAGGATGAAACAACGACAACAACAGGCAGAGTTAAAAGAAAGCGTGTAATAATAAAAAGGGAATTGCGTGATGACTCCACGTGGAGTTTGTTTATAAAAGAGCAACAATTAAACAGGACCCTGCGGGGTGGGCTGGTAGGAATAATACTTAGTACCGGTACAGAGATATCGACCAGGTATAGAGGAGTTAAAGAAAAAATTACTGTATTCTAGTGTAACGTTAATTAAAAGTGTTTGTTTTGACAAGAAACGCTGTGAGATTTAAAGACTCGTAGTCTTTCATTTCCAACACCACCCTCAACACCACCCCTCCCACGGACGGACGGACGGACACATTAATCTATTAGTGGTCTGGTCCACTTCGTTCCTACCAGTATAACTCGCCGCTTCAATAATGCCACGTGACGTCGTCACAACAACCTTTGTCCCTACTCTTTGGTTCTTTAAATAAAGTAAAGTTATGTAGGTAAAGAAAATAAAATAAATTAAATCACGACGTTTCGGACACAACACAAGCGTCCGTCATCAGGTGGGACAACCACAGCAAAAAGCAGTTGCTGAAATAGGCAAAAGAGTTGATGGTAACATTTCAGCAACTGCTTTTTGCTGTGGTTGTCCCACCTGATGACGGACGCTTGTGTTGTGTCCGAAACGTGATTTAATCTATTTTCTTTTCTTTACCTAAGTGACTTTACCAAAAGAATCTTAATTTTGGAGCTTTCGTGACTGCAGGAATTATTCTTTGGTTTTTTCGGTAAAGTCACATATAAAGATAAAATAATAAATTAAATAATAGCATACGACGTTTCGATTGCAACACAAGCAATCATCATCAGGTATAATGAAATAGCGACATAGAATCTAACCAGAAAACTATAGACAGACATGTAAGCAGACAGATATCACCAAGATACATAGAGCAACACAGGTACAGAGAGTGGTGATCGTCTTTGCCGTTGCAGCACCAACGTTTTGGAACAACCTTGTATGTATGTTAAATTTGTACTTGCATAGTTTCTTTTTTTTTAATGACCTGCTTGCCTTTTCTCTGTTTTTCACAACTTTCGTTTTTTTTGTATTGTTTGTTATTGTAACTTGCTGACCCGTCCCTACTGGTCATCTGCGTAAAAGGGCGTCAGAGTTCATCGGATTCCTCCAGCTGAAATAAAGATTCTGATTCAGTGTTACAGTTTCAGCAAGATAGTTTTTTTTTATGATAGCCAGAACACTACATTTTCAAGAGCAATAATGTAAT